TTTGCAAAGTGTGTGTTACAAAATGGCAAACTGAATGCAAAGCAGTGTTTGTGCTTTTAGTTTTGCAAACTCAGTGAGTGGTTTTGCTATAAGTATTAATAGTTTTAGAAATTGTGCTCTAAGAATCACAGTTAGGGTTTAAGCATTCAGAAAAAACTGTAAGAGACTAAAATCTTCTGCTTTCAGGCTGTAAGACTAATATATTCAGATTTTTCAGCTATCGCCATCATTATGGCCAGGCCTTAGTTATTTTTTTTTTTTAAGCATGAAACTGACAACAATATTATACCAGACTGTTCTTTAATGCTCACCTTGACAGATGAAAGGTAGTCTGTCATGGCAGTTGGCATCCAGCAACTGAACTTGTTTCTCAGTCAGGATCATCTTTGCACAGTGGTTATTTGAGTCAGCTATGCTGCTGTTCCATTTAGGATTAATGTCTTTGGACCTTGAAATCCACATCCATTCCCTATCTTTGCCAAAGACTGAGCGTTCCAGGCCAATCCACACCCCTCGTTGCAAGTCTGTCTCATTTTGCAGGAGACTTTTCACTTCATCATTCACTGTTTGGTTGGTGATTTCAACCAGGGAGGAGTAGTTTTGCTGACAGTCCTCCAAGGCATCAATCCAACTTTTGTTTTCATGGTAGAACTGCAGGTTTGTAACTTGAGACAAAAAAAAAAGAAAGTGACATTTAACATAGGCTAACACTACAACAGGCCACAGTTTCCTGCTGTCTCCTTATTTATGCAAAGCTCTGCTGACTCACCCTGATAGTCAGGAATGTTTTGTATAGATTAAAGTATTGAGTCTAAGGCATTATAATATATTAACATATATTTTAATTAACAAGGTAAATGACTGCTTCCAGGCTGAAATATAAAAAAAATTCCACCTGCTGTAGCTGCACTCCTTGTAGGGACAGTAACATTGCAGGGTTGATTTGACGCTGCACATAAGAAAAAAAGTAAAAATGTAAGATTTAAAAACATATTTCAGTTTTACAAAAGAAAAAAAATGTTGTAACTATGCAGTTTTTTATTTGTGTTTTTTTGTTTTTTTGTGTTTTTTGTTTTTTTTTAGGAAAGGTTGATTATATTAAAAAAAGTACTTGCCTGTCTGAGCATCTATACAGTCACTGATATCGTATTCTTCATGAACATTTTGAAAATGTATCTTTACTGTTTTTTTATCTGGCTTAGACACTGAGATGTGTATCTTTCTTCTGTTGAAAGAAAATTACAGAACTGTTTAAAAAGCATATGACAAACATGATTTTATAAGAGATAACACATCTGCATCTTCTGCAGTATTTTATTTAAAAAGCTAAGTGGACAAAAAACATATTTACCCTGGATTACAGTTATTTGTAGAGGTAACTCCGCTGTTGCAACTTCCACAAATTTGATTACGACCAGAAAACTTTACACACCCTGCAGAAAACATAACGAATGAATCTACATGAAGAGGCACTGAAGGCGCCTTTAGAAATATCTGTGGCACTTCAGATTTTGTACTTGCTGAATGAATTTGTCACAGCAAGTATACTTTAAAATCCATTTGCTGTACACACTTCTTTATTACAGGAATAAAATAATTTTTAAGCTACTAAAATACTGTCAATAGACAAATATGCCGTGAAGTTGAGATTTCTTACCATGTTCTACCTCCACAGACAAAAGAAAACTGTCTGTTTTGTATGTGATTTTAGGACATGTGTTAGGATAGTCCGTCATCCCAGTGCTACTGAGTTTAGTGGCTTCCAGTGTGACTTGGTTGACTCTGGAATCACCACATTTAAATTTCCAAATCCACTTGCCAACTGTGCAATTGCAATTTTGTGTAATATTCCATCCAACAGCGCACAGATCACAGTGAGTGATTTTGATTCCTCCATTTGGAAACCCTTGCATGACTGAAACGCAGGGCAGCAGGCTCACTGCTGTAGGACAGGAAGATCACATCAGGTCTGAGTACAGTTTGCGTTTAGTTGTTTGCTAAAGTGAGAGTTTTCTTCTTCTACAATAAATATACAGTAATTCATAGTTTTAAGGAAAATATAAACAAAAACATGTGCAAAAGTCAATATTTTTGTAACTGCTCTTTTTTCATTGTCCTTTCCTTTTTCCAAAACGTTCCCATGCCATAGAAAGAGCCAAGCGATGGGATCAGTACCACTGTCTGTGAGATCTCTCTCAAAGTGCACATTTATTTATTTATGTATTTTAAAAACATCTTTGTTTTATTATATATAGATACATTTGTTTGTTTAATGCATTGGTAAATAAAATGAAGAATATAAAGAAATAGATACTGGCAAACAAAAATCTAGGGTCAGATAAAATACAAGAAAAAAGAAACAAAATGTGGGATATTACAAACAATAAAATTACAAACAAATGATCCGTCATTCACATACTTTTGAGAGATGAATGATGGTGATAAAATGTGTTAAAATGGATCTGCATGGCTAGATCCAGAGTAATTATAACCTTTTAAGCAATGTTTTAAATTATAAGTAGTTACTGTTTTAACAATGAAAAGTAATTTAGGTACATACCTAGCAGTAATGATAGATGAATCACATGTGCCATGGTCTGTAACATGCAAAAAAAAAGTAGAAAATTGAGTCCTAATTAATCATCATATCAAGAGTTTATTTACTTTATTTATGAAGTTTATTTCAACTTCAGTACTTACAGTCTTTGCAGAGATCTTTGTTAACTGTAAATATCAGGTAAATATCCAGAGTGTTTGAAGAAACCTCCCCACTGTCCTCTGGCTTGTTGCTCGAGTCCAAAACGGAAATTCACGGAAATGTCAACAGGAGTGACTTTGCATCGCTGATTATATCATGACATAAATGTGTTCCCATCCTCCTCAAATCCAATAATGACGGGGGTTTTTTCCCTTTAAGGTACTGTGGATGTG